TTGACTTATAAAAGAAAACCAGACATCAAGAATGAACTGAAACCAGGAAGTTCCCAGGAGATTTCTCCTCCTCCCTTGTCACCTCCAGTGTGACTTTTGCATAAGTCTCTCTCTTTGCTCAGCTAAAATTAGAAAGGTGGTTTGTTGCAAGGTCAGGACAGGGGTACTTCAAAAGCAAAAGGAGAAGCCTGTTTTCCAATGCCAACCCCCACAACAGCATGTGAAACTGCTGGGTGCTGGGACTGGCAGAGAATCCTGCACCCCCACCCATTGGGTGGGCTAGGCCTAACCCAGGAGACCAACCATGAGTGAACTCTGTGCCTTTACCTTTTTATTCTAAACTGCATCAACTTCTCCACATGGCATCTTATAGAAGGGGAACGGAGGTGAAGAAACCAAATGTTATTTTTTTTTTAATGCATACTAAAATGTGTGTGTGTGAGGGGGATCACCTGAGATTTTCCTCAGAGACTTGGATTCAGCTATATAAAGCATATGGCCAGGATGGCTTTGTTATTCATAAAATCACTTGCCCTTCTCTCCTGAGGGAAATCAAGTTTTAATAACCCAATGAACTATTAGAGGATTGATCCCAGTCTTGTATCCAAAGTGCTTCCATGATAACTTGAGACTTCACATTGTGCTTGTAAGAATGTGAAGAAAAAACACTTTGTAAGCAATAGAGCAAGTATACCTGTCTAAATTTGTCAACTGCTAGAAAACCAGACACCAGACAAAAAGAGGGTAGATTACGTGGAAATCATAGTTGAAAAAACAGTTGAAATATGTATGCAATATTTAATACACAACTGATGTGGTTTATCTGGCTCCATAATTGAACCTTTGCTAGAATTAAAACAATTATCTAAGTAACAAATGAAAGATAATAATAATTATAGAACTGGCCAAAAAAAATTAAAAACACACAAACAAAAAGAACTTCAAAGAAATGAGTGTAAACTACTTCCCTTTTTAGAAAAAAAAAACTTTCTGAATATCATTACGATGACTTTCTGCAAAGGTGATCCGTTAGCTGACGGATGGATCTGGGGATGGATGGGGTTAGGATTTCATGTAAATACTGCAACACCACGGCCACCGTGATGGCCACTCACTAAAGTGAGTAGACTGAAGGGTAGTCACTACACATGCATGAGAGAACGCGCGTGCCCCTCTGTGAATCCCGACCGACGTTTACTGACTTTGTAGTTAGTTCAGAAACTAAAAGTCAACATGTAACGTGTGCCTGGTAGTCACCCCTAGAAGATAAGCCACGTTAGAAATGAGACTGTTTAAAAAAAAAAAAAAAGGCTATTTTTGCTGGAAACATCCCAAACGCGTTAGATGGCAGTCTAAGCTGAAGATCTGGAACTAGGGTTAAGTAAGGGTTGTGGACACTAGATAGATAACTGGTTAAAAGTTTATATTAAGGCAAATAAAAGCTAATTGCTAGAAAGCAATTAAAATGTCTCTCGTTTATCTACAGGAGAGGAGGACTGGTCTGTTCTTGACAGAGTCAGCTGTTGTAGCTTTTGAACACATGAGCATGGTCAATAGTATACAGTAACTCCAGAGTCTGTTGCTTTGGCCTAGCTAAGCCCATCGGGCTCGGGCATCCAGTCGGATGACCGACAGATGCGCAAGGGCGCGATCAGACACGAGCAGGCTGCCTCGTCCTCCTAGCCCTCCGCCAGCACAAAGACAGACTGGACGCACAGTGTTTGCAGTGAGTCGGCATCTTGGCTCTTTCGCGTCTGAAAACAGAACTAAGTGCTTGTCTTGCCTTTGGGCATCAAAGAGAACCACATTGATTTCCTCAAGGGGCAAGGGAGGAGGCCTTTTCCGGAAGAGAGGGTCCTCAGTTCTGAGTCCTAACCCTGCAGTTTGTGAGCCCCGAGCGGGTACTTTTCTTCCCAATCAGGTCAACCCCAGCAGATATGGAGGGATTGTATCGGCTTCCTAAGCACATTGAAAGGCTGGCTCTTGTCCACGGAGGGCCACGGCAGGCCTGGCTACATGGCCTCAGGGCTTGGTGGCAGTTTGAAGAGTCTGGCGGCGGATATGAGTTTCCTTATATGTCTCTCCTCTGTGATGCCGGCCTCCTGAAGGCAAGTGTGGGACAGGGAAGGCACTTGGCTCAGCGTGCTGAACCCTGCGTCAGAAAGGGCGCTCGTATACATGGGCAGGCCGATGGAGATGAGCCAATCCGACAGGGACGCGACACATCCAGGAGAAAGGGGCTTTCGGCAGATTTCCGTCAGCCCACCACTCGGGATCTGTAGAAAGAAGGAAAGCCATGTCATGAAGATTGCACAGGCGCCGTGAGTTACCTTTTGTATGGCTGAGCTAGACAGTACTGCACTACGTCATTGCCAAGAGATGTCAAAGTCAACATTAAGAACTTTGCTCAACAATGTAAAAAACTTTTATGGAACTATCTCCAGAAGATTCCAAAAGGAATTTTCGGACTTGATCAAACCCCAGTTACATGTGTAAGGCTCCAGGCTGTGGGTATTTACCTTATTTATTGCTCTTTGTCTCCAGGAAATCTCTCAACTAAGGTAAACTACAGAGACCAACTTGTATGACAGTGTAAAAAAAGATACTCATGGCTTTTATAAAATGTATTTTCTACTGTACTTTGACTCTATATTAACAACCAGAAACTTAAATATTTAAACATACACCATTAATCAACAATTTAAGACCTAATAATGTTGAACTGACTAGGACAGAGAAAAGGACCTTGGAACCGTATCACTAACTACATAAAGGACGTCTTTCTGAAGGAGATCTGTAGGGCGTTAAAAACCTACACAATTTTGTACAATTGTGCATGTACTCAGATTCACAAAGGCATGGAGGCCAGAGGTCAGAGGTCAGAGGTCAGAAGCCAGAGGCCAGAGGTCAACTTTCCATGATCTTACTCAAGAGCTATCCATCTTTTATTTTGAAACAGGGTCTCTGGCTTTCATCTCGAACTTGCTGAGTCAGCTAGGCTGGGTGCTCAGTGAGCTCCCAGGATCCGCCTGTCTCTCCCTTCCCAGCCACACACAGGATCACAAGTATGGGTATGACATGGATTTTTTTCACACAGGTCCTGGAGATAAAGCTCAAGTACTCATGCTTATGTTCTTTGCTCGCAAGCCCTGATTTTGTATGATCTTGATGAAGTAAACTCTCACCAGAGAATAAATCCTCAGGTATTATTGGAACGTCCACAGATATGTTTTAAAGCAAGCTGCCTTTCACTATATCATTTAAAATAAAAAGAAAGGAATAAACTCTAAACATTTATGGATATGTAATTGGCTAAGCCATAGAATAAAAACCTTGAAATCTTGATAACAAAAAATAATTTTACTAAGACAGATTCATGATCTGATGAGCAAACACCATCAGGCTTAAAGCCATATTTTTACTATTGCGAGTGTGTACAGAAATGACTAGTTTAAAATTGAGAGGTAGAGGTTTTATATACTTAAGGCATACAGCATGGTGTTTAGAGAAGTGCAAAAGTCATACAACAGCTAAGCCAAGCTACTTAACAAACATTAATTACTTCACTAATCCGAATGCCTTTCTCTTGTGTAATGAGAATAAAAGCTGCGTCAGCATCTTCTGCCGAGGATATAACACACTGTTGTCAACTGCAATCTTTGTGGGATGAACACAGAGCTCCTGAATGAACTTACTTATTTAGCTAAAGTTTGGTGTCCTGTGTTTAAAAACAGGCATCACTAGTGCTGAGATATGATGAATTCCCCTTTTGTTTTTCTAAAACTGTCTTAGACTTGGGGATCTGAGAATGTTCCTGTAATCTCAGCATTGAAGAGGCTGAGGCAGGAAGATCACAAATTGAAGGCTAACCTAACTATGTCTCTAAACAAATAAAAAAGCAAAAACAGAGAAACAAACAAATAATAATGGGTTTGTAGTGGAGCTTAGTGGTAGAGTCCTGTTCTAATATGCATAAAACCCAGAAAAATAAAATCCAAGTCTAGGTTGACAGTATTATTTTCTCCCCAGGTGTCTTTTCCTAGGGCTGTAGCAAGTCTCTGTGTTATCAACACCTACCAGTAGTGATCTTGTAACTAAATATATTTCAGAAAGCTATGCGTCCCCCCAAAATATGGGCTGCTCACCGCCATACGATGTTGCTTCCGAAGCAGCTTCACCCGGATCTGGTCCATATTAGTGGCAACATCCCTCTCAGGCTGATCTAAGTCCTCTGCGTATCTCTGTACCAGGGCTTCAGGGATCCCACAACGACCATGCTTGTGGGGGAAAGGGAAATGTGGCATGAATGGTGGTCCAGACATATCCCACCTAAGATACATCCAGACACATCACGCCTAAGATACATCCAGACACATCCCACCTAAGATACATCCAGACACACCCCCACCTAAGATACATCCAGACATCCCTCACCGAAGATAATCCAGACATCTCCCACCTAAGATACATCCAGACATATCTCGACCTAAGACACATAGCTGTCAGAAAACAACATCCAGAGTTTCAGCTCAAAAGGAACATAACCTCTTTATTACTGGGGCAGATACTTAAAAGGAGCATACTTGTATCTTCACCTTACAAGAACTGATGAGCTCTAAAGAAATATTTCAAAACATAATCAGGACAACACAGTCCTGTGTTTTTCAGGCCAATGCCTTAAACCCATTTTTACAAAATTCATTTCCTTAGTGTTGTTGAACACTGTCCCCTAACCTGTAGAAAGCCAAACCATTACTCTACAGACACTATTTGCCCTTCATCTAAGAATCACACCACTAATCACCAGGCCACATTACAAACTCTGCCTATTTTCCCTTCAAAGGTACACAGTCACTGAGTATCAAAGAAAAGAAGGAACGCCCCGGGGGTGAGGGGTGGGGGATGGGGGAGGTGATCCTGGGGGATGTCCATGATCATAAGGATTTAATAACAAGGACTCTTGGGGACACATTATAACAGAAGATGCATTTCCAGAAGAAAAGTAAAGCCACCTCTATTATTACTGATTTATCTTCAAAGTCACTTTGGTGTTGCTAGCCCTTTTCTCTTTGCTTTTCAAATGAGAACTGTATTTCAGTACAGATATAAATGTTTTTGGTGCATCAAAGATTTTCATATTATGCCCCGCCCCCTGTTATGTATAGATATTTGTATAATTGCTGTAGTACACCTGAACTCTGAACTGTAAGGGCGCTACAGTTTTCTATATGTGTTCCTGTTAATTGTATTTGCTTACGACAACCTGTCTGTGAGTAGATAGATAATGCAGGTTATTTGAAACTCCAGTTAAACTACACAGAAATGAAGACACAACCTGCTGTGGGATATGCACCCAAGATTTGAGTCTCTCTCGCCCATTACACATTGAGGCCAATTCTGGTGCTGATCCTGTTCTCTGTAAAGCACAGTTGCCACAAACTAAAACCAAGTAAGAGGAAAAGAAAACCACGAAGCTGTGTTTGTATTTAACCCAGGGGTAGGAGGTTGTACTCCCAGCTCACAGAAGCCATAGGCAGAGTGTACCATGCTGTCTGTACAGCACACGTGACCCTGGCCTTTCCTGGCTCTTATCTGAGTGGTGCACACCTTTAATCCCTGCACTTGAGAGGCAGAGGCAGGGAGTTCAAGGCCAACCTGGTCTAAAGAGCAAGTTCCAGGGCATCCGGGACTATAGGAAAACCCTGTCTTGAAAAACCAAGCCAAAAAACCAAAAGGAATAAACAGGGCCCTGAGGCCCAAGCCTTGGATACCTTATCAGAGTAGGGCTCCTCAGTGAGATCAATGCCCTCAGCCTGCAGCTTGTTCTCAGTCAGCATCTCTAGGTCTACACCCCGGACGCAGGAAACCTTCCTGCTCAGCACTGGGCCCAGCTTTACACCGTGCTCCTGCAGGCTGGTGCTCTCAGGCAACTCGGCCAGCCAGGGTGGAGGTCTCGTGCAGACTGGGCTGCCCGGCTCAGTCCCCGAGGAAGACCTGGGCTCCCTGGGAGAGGGGCAGTCACTGGGGCTGACGGGGCTGGCAGGGCTGGCCTTCTTCAGTGGCAGAATGGGTGCCTCTGAGCTGGGGACCAGGTGCAGGCCATTGGCCAGGCGCTCTCGGCTTTTCTTGGCTGGCACAGGCGGGGGCTGCGATGGATGTCTGGACTGTGTCCTGGTCTCAGGGGCACTCTGTTCCCCATCCACCCCTTCTTTGGTGCCCAGGGAGTTGTGGTCATGTCCTTTTCTGAGACCCTCAAGAGACGTCCTTGTTAAGCCAGGTTTAGCAGGAGGCTGAGCCTCAGAATTTCTGGGTATACACTGAGGAGGAGCTACGCCAAGGTTAGAGGCCACCGTAGAGCCATCCAGTTTCTTAGCCTTCGTTTTTGGGGGGTCAGAAGATCTCTTGCTTTGGGTCAGAAGCATCACATCTTCTGCAGTGGAATCTTGGCCTCGGGGCAGAACCTTAGAGGTGCAGGCAAATGTCTTCTGTGGCACTTCTGGTACATTCTTAGGACAGGTTTCCGGCATCTCGGTAGGCACATCCTTGCCAACATCAGCATCTCCCTGAAGGTCATCCAGGGAATGGGATCGGGGCCAATTTTCCACAGGCTCAGGATCCTCCAGCGTTTCACAGCTGCGACAGATGGACACTGGGAGGCTCCTTCGGTTTTTATTCAAACCAGTCACACAGGGCACGTTACAGCACTTGGCAGTGTCCGGGGCTAGACCTCGTCCCAGCCTGCCCTCCTCTCCCTGTTTGCGAACCTCCCCTGACTTTGTTAAAGGCAATGTTGGGTAGTTGCCTGGCTGACTCCTGTTGAAAGACTTTAAATTGGACTCCGTGGATGACTTGGTGGGCAGAACGCTGGGTTTTTGAGTTTTGCCTGTGAGAGGAGATATTTTACAACGACATTTTAAAGTCAATGAAATTGATGCACAAACAAGGGCTAGGGGACCAACAAAACCATCACACATGACGCTGGAAAACAAGTAGGTGATTAGGGACCAATTTTTATTTTTATAAAGAATTCTAGTCTTATTAAAGTACTTATAGAGACTGAAACTAATTGTTATGTGGAAAAGAAACGCTTGATCAAGCAGAAGCAGAAGGCTGGAGCTAATGTCTATTCCAAGCTGCTTTTGGTAAAGAAAGACTGGCAATGCACTCAGAAACCAAGCTGTAAGATCTCTTGTTTGGTGGATATAGTTTTCTGAAGTCATGGTTGAACTGATTGCTTAGAATGGGGTCTATGAATGGTACCCACAAAGGGGTGATCAAAAGAAGAGAAACAAAACTTCTAATTGTTCTCTCCTTTAACCTGCTCTTCTTGAATAAATATACCCAGTAACAAGGAAGCAACTTTTGATATGGACCAGTAAACAAGCCGAAGGGAGCGCTTCACCGGAGACCGTTTACAAAATACTTCCTCAGATGCTTCTAGCACAGTTACTGTCCTGGTTAAAATGAATCGGGATTGCTAGCTGAGCTATCAGTCCGACACAAGCCACCAACTTGATAACTCTTGATTTATATTTACTGTGCAGCTGCTGTCTGACAGGCTTTCCTGGGAACATACTCTATGTAGGCTCTGTGTAGGTACCAGTAAGCTCATGCACATGTGTGCATGTACACACACACAGACACACACGCACACACACACAAAATCAACGGTGCTCTGTCTCCTCTTCTATTAATAAGAGATTTGCTGTGTCCCTAGTGGCTAGTCTGATAAACCTGAGAAAATTCCAGGTAATAGAATATCTAAGCCACATGATTATGTTACTCTAGAAAAAGATGTAAACACTACACATTTTTGGAAAGTACAAAGAAATGGCTGTGTCTACCCTCTGAAAAGCTAGTAAGTTATTAATTAACTAAGACTTTTTTTTTTCTGCTACCCTATTAGTAAACATCCCGAATTCAGCATTTCAGTTCAGAATCCTGACTTCTCCATTAAGTAGCATGACCCTTTGGATGTAATATACAAACTGCAGCAGGGAGAAATCAGGCTGGGGGCCAATTTGATAGGGAGGGTTAAAAAAATGGGTTGGATGGTGCCCACTCAGTAAGGGAATAGCTACTTTAGAGCAAGTGAAGGTATTCTTTGATAAAAACAACAACAACCACCTTCTCTGTATGAGGCAGTCTAGATGAAGAAGGAAATAGAACAGAAAGAAAAAGGCCCAGGGCTGACATTCCAAGGGCTTTGGCCCTTCATCAGCAGGGAAAAAGTTTCCTCCCATGATTTCACAGCTTTCTAAGCTCACTCAAACCTCAAACTGATAACATGAAGTGTTGCAGGCCAAGACCAACTGCAGACCCTAAGGCCGGCAGCTGAGAACGGCGCTCTTCTCACTGGGAGTTTTTATTAATGAGGCCATCCTTTTTCATGAGACTCACATCAGCATGTGAAATATTTTCTGCCCTGCAAAGCACAGACCCAGCCAAATGGTGCCTGTCCTCCATTTGGAAGAAGTTCATACTATAAACTCTGCCCACCTGGATTTCTACACTGATCAACAGCAACGCGCTAGCCCTTTCTTGATAGGTTGCTATTCTCTCGATACATGCAGAGATGTTACTGTTACTTCTGAATGTGCTGGCTATAATTCCTAATTAACAGAAGAATCACTACAGCTAAATGCAAGGAGAAAATACCTCACTGAACACATCATTAAATCAACAACAACAAAAAATCCCCCAAACCAGTTTAGATGGAAAACTCTTTCTTATTAAAATCCATTGAGTTTAAATAGATTTAATGTGTTTTTCTCTTATTACCTCCCAATATGAACCTTATGTATCAATGCCAGGTTCACATTCTGTTTCACAAAGGAAGAGCTTTGAGTTCACCCTGAAATCAAAGGATGGCTCACCAGTTTATTTAATTCAGTTCTTCAATAGATATAACTGAATTCTCCTGGGCATTAAAGCCTTTGGCATTGTTATCTTTCTTCCATACTAACCCAGCACTGCTGGGGTTAAGTTTACCTGACTGCTACAGCTATAGAAAAGTTATTAACAAAAGCAGAACAAAAGCCTTCCAAACGTACCCAAGGATTTGCTGTTTGCTAAAAATGATGCAATGCTGGGCTCCTGGATGTGTTTTGCATTGCATTTTAACCAAGGCTATCTAAATGTTAAGCATCAGAGGACCCAGTTATCCTCCCAAATTGACAGAGCTGATGGATAAATATCTAGGTTCCCAATATGCTTAGCAGTGCGAGGCAGGCAATGTGTCCAGGTGCAGATGCAGAGGTGAGGGCTTGCTCTAAGAGTGTGGCTGGTTGTACCACGAGAACTTGAACTCGAGCCTTTATTTACTTTACCTTAGAACCAGTCTGGATGCCCGAAATAACGCTCTCATGCTATTTTTTTAAAAGCACTGTTGACATTAAGAAACAACTTTTTAGGAATATAAATAAAAGTTAAAAATATCTCTCTGGGTTCCCTGAGGGACAAGCCTGACTGCATAGGGGTTGATGTCAAAAGTATCCACTCTCCAGGAAAAAGACATTGGGATGGGTATGGCCCTCATGCCTCACTGGACAACGACAGGGGGACCAGAGCCATTACAAGGTCCCCTTCAATTACTGGAGGTCAGGCCTCTATCCCCACCTTCACAAGATTAGAATCGCCACAGCCCTTCTATACTTAGAGAAGGGAGGAGATATCAGGGGCAGCCCTGCTTACACACTGAAGGCCTAAAATCAGCCATAGGCCTAAAATCAGCAATAGGCCTGTCATTCATGCATACTAACACCAAGTCTTGGGTCTCAGTGGAAAAACATTGAAACAGATGGCTATAAGCTATTGTAAACAGGCAGCTTTTGTGGAAATTTACCAGCCTGAGTAGTCATAGACCTTGTAAATAGGTAGCCTTGGTGGATAATACCAACTTAGATAAGGATAAGCGAGTCATAGGGAGAGTCATAGTGACCTGTCCCCTGAACCTTCACCCAGCAGATACCCGGTTCTGATGATATCTGTATTTCCCCTGAACACCCATGCTCCCTTCCCCATGTCCTGCCTTTTTGTGTTTATAACCCCTGTGTGAATGAGTAAAAATTACAATTTGAAAAAATAAATTATATATATACATATATATATACATATATATACATATATACATACATATATATACATACATATATATATATATATACATACACATATATATATATGAAACAACTTTTTAGGTCCACCGCCTAACACACAGATCTAAAACAAAGATTACAGTAATACCACTAAAGATACTAAGCCTTACCCCATGTAATGTGTTGATGCTTTCTATTGTGTCCTAGAAAACTGTTATCCAGGGGTCGTTAATTGATTTCACAATTCACTAACAAACTGGAACCTACGGCTTGCTTCAGTAAATGCTAAGAAAGGGCCTAACTTGTTACTACCAGGTGGGAATCCCAGTAGCCACTAAAGGCTATGAAACCTGGGTATGTTTTTGATATAGCCTTCAAGTGTTCAATCAACAGAGATGAACAGAGATGGTGGTATGAACCCTTCACCATTGCTTCTAATCTTGTAACAGTGGAAACTTGGGGGACACCAGAGGAAGCCGCAGAGTCACCTGCCATTTAATCTTTCTGCTTCATTCTGTTTAAGACCTTGGCCCTGTGTGGAGGAGGCTTTGAGAGTTACATATTGATTGCTTCCCAACTGTTAAAAGATAGAAGCCACAAATAAGACATACAGCCTTCTAGTCACCCTCTCTAGGGGTAATTGCCTCTGGAATCAGGCTGTGTGGCTGCAACATACGGCTGCTGGGGTTCCCTTGATGGATGGTCTACCTGGCAAATTGCTTTCCTTGTGGGCCTAATCATTCCCAGTACTGAGATGTTAGTGGTGTCCATGTGACGAAAAGGGCACAGGAGACACACAATTTAGGTTTTATGGCTTTGGGTATTTTAGACAGAATTTATAAACGTCACAAAGCAGGCAGGAGGACTAAACAGAGGTTACCAGAAGAGTAGAGGGGAACAAGGCCAGGAACGGGAAGATGGCCACTGGCTTCATCTCTGTACGAGAATGGAGCCTGTGGAAACACTTGAAATCAGGAGACACTGAGGTAGGTTCTGGTGGTCTGGGCCAACATTACCATTTTCTAAGTTCTCGCTGCTTTCATAGCATCCAGAGTCTCGTGGGGAACGTCCACTCAGGCCCTGGCTGTCCACCAGAAGCTTCTCCTGAGAGCCAGACTGGTCACTGTTACCTGGAGGATGAAAATACAGCATGGTGTCATAAGGAGCTCCAAAGTCAGCTGGATTTTCCTCCTTTGCAATTGACACATGTTAAAACTGAACTAAAATAAAAAGAAAGAAAACCGAGCTTAACCGGATCAGAACACTTCTCTTTCACGTCATGTATCCACCATGTGAAAGGCCACAGGGGAGAGAAATACAGAGTGTGCTACTGTGGTACTGGAGGAGGGCCCTGCTGAGAAACAGCACCATCAATGAGAAGCAGTGTGTGTGAATGGGGCCTTTACAAGGTGGGTATGATCAAGTGTTTGTCAGACACTTGCAAGACTTGTACATCGAGTTATTTAGGTTACAGGCTCTCCAAATTTGGGAGCTTGTATAAAAGTATCAACTGGAATATTGCTTTATAAGTATTGGGGAGTGTTGTTAGCCTATGGTAACAATATGTGGCCAATTGTATTATCTCAGTCAAAGGAAGGCTGATGAGAAAGGAACTGACGCTATACAAGGAGAAACAAAATCTTTTGTCTTCTGCAATGTTCAAAGTTTCCTTTGTCTTTACCTTTCTCTTTCTGCTTTCCTCTCACCTGCTCACTCCAACCACACACACAAAGGCAAAAATCAATCAATCAATAAACCAGGACTATGATGCCTTTTCTCAGGACATTAAAATGAACATGTGGAGAGGCTGAGGGCTGCCACGTCACGCATGTGCTGGTGGGGGCCCCACCGTCGTCTTTCCACTTCCTGTCTGTATTTCTCAAAGGGAAAGCATTCTGTAACATGTACAATGCCGAAGAGGATGTCAGAACACGTTTTTAAATTATAGACCAAAGAATGTCAATTATCAAATAATTAGTGGGTAAATTAACAAACTAGAAGCATATGAACAAATCCCACCCATCCCCCTAAAACAACCCCAAACTGGAACATTCTATGGTGATGTCCTCATCCTGTGGAAGAGCCTGTGGATTTGGATTGGCCTTTGCTTTTGTCTAGCATGCTATTTAGGAAAACGATCTTTGGAAATGAGGGCTTCTAGCTGTCCTTGAGTACCCCATGAAAGGGATCTCATCTGTCCCTGTGGCAGCAGTTCAGTGTACAGAGCAGCAGAGCAGACTGCACACTAGAGCCAACAAAAGAGAAACGTGACCCATGCTGCTGCTGAGAAGTGCATCCTGGGACCCCAGCCTTACCAGGCACTACAAGGTCCTGTTGTTACAGAAAAGGGAAGGATCCCTCTGGTGCTGAGATCCACGGTACAATTGACAGTCATAAGGAAGACATCTGACAGGGGGCTAGAGCCACCACTTTCACCAGGGAGAAGGTGACTCTTTTATGTGTCTAAACTTTTCTCTCAAACTCATTAACTTCAATGCCAACGTAGAAAAGACGAGACTGTGAGGAATAAGCCATCATCAAAAGAGCTGAAGTCCCATTTGGTCATGACCTGAAGGGACTCAGCAAGCTTGGTCTAAACTGCCTCCCTACTGCACCCACCCACACAAGTGAGCCTGCATAGGTGAGCATGCTTTCGGGCTGAATATGCAAAGACACTGAGATCCTCAAATAGCAAAAGCAATGGCATATAAGGGCACACACCGGTTTCTAGAAGGTACTTTTCTTAGGACTAAGGAGAGGGAATGGGACTCCTGGAGAGAAGCCCCTTCAAAGGGCTTACCGGATTTCCTACAAAGCAGACTAGTCATCCATTTTATTTCTCTCCATGCTTCCTGCATACTTCAAATAAACTTTAATTAAGAGTCTTACAAAAACAAACAACACATCTTCTTTTGAGTCAAGGTCTCTCTTTCTCTTTGTGTAGCCCAGGCTTGCCTGAAACTTTGAGTAATCCTGCCACACTTGTTTCAATGCTCACTTCCCTAGGAAACAGTAAACTGAGGCTACAGGGGGTTGCCACCATGCCCAGCTTCAAAAGGCTGTTTCCACTGAACTGTACCCATGGCGGTGACTAAGAAGGCAAACTCTGTGTATGGATTTTACTATAATTTTTTTTAAAGTAAACAATTTTAAGAGTGTTTTCATTTAGAGGAACTAAAAGAGTCTGAGGAGAAGCGAGCTGACTGACTTTTCCGAACGGAAGGCTGAGTACAGACTACCTTTCCTCGTATGTGGGAGACACTGGGAAGGTTTGAATTACAAGCAATACTGGAGATAAACTTAATACTTTCAGTGGAAGTGCAAGCTAGGAAAACTCCAAGATGTCCCTTCATATCCTCAAGAACCTCACTTGATCTCTCTCTCTACTGCAAACAAACTGAGTTTGGCAGAACACTACTGTGCTTCTCTAAGTTATTGAGGTACTTGGAAGAAGTATTTCTTAAATACAATGAATTTAACTACATTGGATAGAAAACTCTTACATCTCTAGGCTGCATCTGAATATGGCCTCTCAAGAGTAATTACAGCTGCTGAGCCCTTTCCGGAAGCCTTTGTTTCAAGATCAATAAAAGGAAATACCGTTTTAAGTATCAAGAGAAATTCCAAGCAGTGCAAATGCAAAGACCCAAAATGGGATTTATAAGCAAGAGCCTGCCTGAGTCTCCCCAAGTTAACATCCTATGAAATAATTCTAGTACAAATCTTAGGATCTGAGCCAGGGACGATGGGTCTAAGCCAATGTGTTGTGTCAAACTAGGCTCAGATCCCTGCCTATATGCCGGCTTTAGCTTTGCTCTTCTGATAGCTGAATGAAACAAGAAATGTAATGGACGATGTATATAAGCCAGCTGTCCTCCGTAAAGAATAAACGACATATAATACGGAGCAGATGCGGTTCAGAAGAACAGATGGTTCTAATTAATTCATATTGATGAAGAAGTTCTGCCGTACCAGTCAGTCACTAGGCAGGCTGTTTACACAGCCTGGCCAGAGACCCCGGGGTATCTCTAGAGCAATGGTTCTCAACCTTCCTAATGCTGTGACCTTTTAATACAATTCCCCGTGTTGTGGTGAACCCCACAAAAATAAAAAATTATTTTTGTTGCTAGTTCATAACTGTAATTTTGCTGTTATGAATCATAACATAAATATCTGTGTTTTCTGACGGTCTTTGGCCATTCCTGGGAAAAGGTCATTTGACTCCCAGAGGGGTCACAACCCACAGGTTGAGAACCATTGCTCGAGCAAATCAAATGCTACAGAGACCTGGTCACGAAGCAGTGTGGCAAGTAAGAGGACATTCTCCAAATCTAGACTTGAAGGCTGCCTCTTTACTTGCCTATTAGTGACTTTTTCTGATGCCATGAGAAAATGCCCTCATAAAAGTGGCTGAGGGGTTCATTGGGGACGTAGGGTAAAGTCCATCCTGGTGGGAAACTGTGGGTGCAGGCATTTGAGCAGCTGGGCCCATGGCATTCAGTCAGCAGCAGAGAGATGACAGTTAATACACAGTTCACAGTCTCCTCTCTAGTCCAAGGACCTCAGCCTATGGCATGGTGACACCGACAGCAAAGGTGGGTCTTTCCACTTTAAGGACCCTCAGCTACACAATCCTTCACAGGCATGCCCCAAAGCCAATTTATTCTAGATAATTTCCTCACAGATGTGTCCAGAGGCTTGTCTCCTAAGTGCTCTTAATGATGTCAAGCTCACAATTATCCAGCACGTCTAAGGTTCAGACAACAATTGATAGTGTTCCTTTATGTTATTGGTAATAATTTAAAGAGTGAATTTACCAACACAGTTGCTTCTTTTTCTCTTGAGTCTCATATAGTAAATGCAAATGTCCCTCAGTTTACAATAGTGCACTCGATACTATAAACTAAGATGCTAACTCCCCTAATCCACTGAACAGACTCTCCGGCAGTCTGGGACACTGCAGAGTGTTAGCCGTTACCCATCGTGGTCTCAGAGTTGACCAGGGCTCCAGCTCACTGCTATTGCACATCTCTCTAGGTGTGCAGACTGCATGCTGCTTGGCCAGACAAAGAACAGGAACCAAAACTGGAAGTATAGTTTCTAACAACTGTGTATCACTCTCCTGGCATCAGAAAAGCAAGAAAACCCTAAGTTGGAGACCATCATTACCCATGGTTTTGATGTCTCTTCCAGTGATAGAAATCCACTGGCTACTTACACCCTGGAAGCAGAGCACATAAAAAAAAATGCACTTGAATTCAAGAACTGGAAAGGATATACCCTCCACTTTTAAGAATGTTTTTTATGTCAGACTGAAGAATAAAGACCATGATAAGCCTTGCTTAGCAGGGCAACAGCAATGGACTCAACAAAACCCATGAATGTCCTGAATTCTGTGCAAGTAGTATAAAGAATAAGCTCCCCTACTCAATTTGGGAATTCCTGCTCCATGCACTCACTTCAGAAAGACACTCCCTTCTTTCCTGGAAACTGACTGGTTTATTTATTCACTACTAAGCCTATTCAGTAAAAAAATAACTCATGATTTGGAAAATAATTACCCCTTAGATGGGCAAAGAGACTCCTAAATGGTCAGCCCCCCCACCACCACCTTTTTTTTTTTTTTTTTACTCCTTAACCCAGGGATTTTCTTCCCTTTTTTATTTTCCCCTAAGAATTATTTATTTATTTTATGCATATGAATACACTGTAGCTGTCTTCAGACACACCAGAAGAGGGCATCAGATCCCATTAGAGTTGATTGTAAGCCACCATGTGGTTGCTGGGAATTGAACTCGGAACCTCTGGAAGAGCAGTCAGTGCTCTTAATCGTTGAGCCATCTCTCCAGGCCAACCTAGGGATTCTTAATGACCCACTGATGGATGTATGTTCCAGTGGGAACAACAGGGAACCTACTGGTCCCTTCAGAAAGGCCCTGGCACTCTTTTCAAACGATATTAACAGGCATGTCTGTTCTGTGAACTGTTTTGTCATAATACAAAGTTAACCTTGGCTTTGGCAAGAAGACCAACTGGGTGACTCCAGGTACCCTAAGCATATGATGACAACTTATTTGAGGCCCATTGCTGCCAGTAATAATCATAATGATATTGCTGCTGTTTGTCTAGCTCTGTGTGTGTGTGTGTGTGTGTGTGTGTGTGTGTTTGTGTGTATGAGAGAGAGAGAGAGAGAGAGAGAGAGAGAGAGAGAGAGAGAGCGCTTACTGTCATATTCCTGTAACAGCTCCACTGCCGTCAAGAGAACAGCTCTGTGTTCTGGGTCCCTAATATTTAATTCATCTAAATCTTCTTCCTCCAGGAGTTTGAAGGTGTCCAGGTCTTCATAGCCATTGAACAGGAAGGTGGGCATGTGTTCCTGGAAGGCAGAGAGAGAAGATGAAAGTAAGTCCGTGGGCCAGCCGTGTGACCCATGTCACACAACCGGCCTTACACACCTCAGACTTTTTCCCATAGTCCTTCTTATGCACATTAAGAGATGGGTATCATTTGTAATATACTCTGGGCCTCCCAGGCTTACAGCTCAGTAGGCAGATAGGGCTGTATAGGCTCATTCACAAATGGCTTAAGAAGGAACTAACTCCTTTCTCACCATTTGGCCTGTGGTGAGAAGACTTCCCTTTACATCAGAGCAGGGGAGGCTTACTAAAATCCAACTTAGCCAACCCTATGAATTTCTCAGGATCGAGATGTTTCATAAGTTGAAAACTAGAACCCACCACTGTAGCCATACTCTTTTAGAAGATGCTGGGAGTCACATCCAGGGAGAGGTGAGAAGGCAGGTGCCTCATGATCCCTGTGAGCACAACACTTGGATTTCTGTTTAGAGTCCTCCAAAAAAAGCAAATTCTGATCTAGGGCTTATGCTGCGTTATCGCCCTTAGTGAAGGACAAGGGTAACATTAGAATACTGGTAACTATTTTTATAGAATACTTGTGACATTAATGGGTCACACCTGCAAGGTGACCTACATCACTTGCCCAGTTTAGAGAGAGGACAAGGCGACAAGGATACGTATGTGACAAGAGTAACAAGTGACTGACTTTCAGGTTGATCCGATCCAGGAGATCCTCCACAGACTTTGGCTGGGATGGTCTTCCCTTCCTCCGCCTCCTGGTAGGGCGCTTGGGCTTCTCCTCTTCCTCATTTAGCACATCCACATAGATGAACTTGAACGTGCCGACTTTGTTGTTCAACAGGCCCATCCAGGTACCCATGGGCGGTTTGCTGATGATGTCAATGATATCTCCTTTCTGTGGCCCGGGGAATAAAGATCTTTCCGTTAGGCAGATTTCTAAGCCTGAGCAATGACATAATTCAGATGTTTGGGGAAATGCTTCATGGTCAGGATTACAGTCCCAGCTTCCTTCCTACAGAATCTTGTGTGCATTTATACGCATGTGCCACGTATACATGTTGATATGGGTGTGTGCACATGTGCACACGTGGCAACCGGAGGTAGATGTCCTGTGGTTTTCTCCCTTGTACCCCATCTTACTTTTGAGAGTTCATCAATTGTTTAGACTGGTAGAGCTCTGGGGAATACCCCACCTGTCTCTACACCCACAGCACTGGTTCTCCAGGGGCTCACCACCACCCTCAGCTTTTCCATGGGTGCTGGGGTTATGAACTTAGGTAGGTATTCATGCTTGGTGTACATGCATGTTACTGACGGAGCCATCACTCCAGCACCACAGGCCACCGTTCCGAGTGACTGAGACAGGATAGGACTGAGAGACTGATGGGTGACAGACAGAATACTTTTAAATGTGCTAGATGCCATGCTGACCCCAGGTCACAACCTTCCCCACCTTCTGCTCAGCAGGGTTGAGCAGGCCTTATCTGTCACCCAGGCTGTCAGTCAGATTGGAATCCTTGCCCCCAGTCATAAGAGGGTGTCCCCTAACCTGTGGCCACATCCTATAAACTATGTCCCATTACATCTTTAGGTCCCACATAAGCATCTCTGTATATACAGAGAGCGGTTGTTCCCTTCAGATAAAGGAAGCATGGAAGGAGGGGCACGGAAGTTCTAGAAGGAAGCTGGGGGTCAAAGGGTTGGGCCAGGGAGGAAGCAATGGTAACAAAGAGTTAACTCACAGCTTCCTCACCCTTCATCATGGTCTGGTTCTATTTTATTTTCACTAGAAAGGAGACCAGTGTGGCCAAAACATGATCTCGTCTATATGATAAGAGTCCAGCATCCACTGGCAGGGAAGAGAGAAACATTTCCCGGAGACAAGAGGGCCTGGGCTAGCTGCCCAAGACGAAGGGCAAGCCTACCTTGAGCTTCAGAGAGTCTGTGTCATAGGGACTGGGGGTGAAGTCAGTGTGTACACGGGCACGCCCACAGAAGGGACCCCGATAGGGTGGCTCTTCATCATCACCGTCTTCTGACTTGACACTCTCCCTGTTGCTGGTGGAGGAATCGGTGGTGCTCACGGTCTGACCACCTGAACAGGGAGAGCAGGAAGCATAGGGGATTAAACACAGCCTTCCCAGGTGGCAAAGATGAAAGGCACCAAAAGTACTGTGTATCAGAAACGGCCCAGGAAGGGAAGCTATGAGCCACCACATTCTGACAGGATCACAGCCAGGCCTACATGTGAGCCTTCTGTTATCCTAATCCAGTGCGTAACTTGACTGGGGACTCCCAGCACCCTGTCATTGTGACAGGAATCCTTGGGACCCTGAGATTCACCAGGGGAGGATGCTGCAGGGTGCCGCCCTGGCGTGAAGTCTTTGCCTGAGAGAACTTAAAGTTCTGAATTTACACTTTACGTCTTCTTCCTCGTTGTTTGGTCAACACCAGGTGTCTTTGGTCCTGGGGCAGCTTAGTCATATTTGCTTTCAGGGTCATTTAGGATTCCTCTCCCTTGCCCAGACCCCTTTATTCTGTTAATCATCTTCATGTACTTTGACCTTTGCCTTAGTCTCTAGATCCTTCCTCGGAGATAAATTTTCTATCTTCACCAATCAAAATTAAGCGTTCCTCTTTTGCACTATGGTTGAAGAAATATATAATAGCCCATTAAGGCCAAGGTTCGGGCTTCACTCATTTTTAATTTTCGGTAACTTGAGGCTCAAATGAACGTCTGACCGTGAAGCCAAAGAGATGGCATGAAACACTAGGAACCATACTTACTCATGGAGCTCTGGCCACTCAGAGAACTCCGAAGGCTTTCTACAGAGCCGCCAGCTTTGAGCTTAGGTTTGTCTATTTGTTCAGAGTCAGGCTTCACTGAGGCGGGGGAGCTAGGCATTCCATCGAGCCCCGAGTCCTGAAACAATATCAGTAGAATTGAGTTTTCTAAGCAGAAATGTGGTGCTCTACAATAGTTGGTGAGCTGGTCCTCAGCTTTACCAGTCAAACTGACTGGTAAATGGTTGATCTTACATAAAACATTCTCCCTTTAAGCCTAAATCTCTGTTTACATCCAAATATACAGCCCTTAGTAATTGCTTTTCAAATTCAAACAGGTGTTTTTCAATTTTACCATATATTAAAACAGCTAAAGGCTAAGGGACGTAGTATACTCAATGGCCCAGGAACAAGTTCAGCCTACTCTTAATATAATATTTAGAAATATAATCAGAGGGCAGTTTATTAACTCCATGGAGAAAACATTTACACTAAGAAAAAAAATCATATTTCTTAGAAACAACTGACCAGAGTGTTTCTATTTATATAAATTGTCGAGTGACTGGAAGAGGAACGATGCTGGTGTTTAGTCACCAGGGGGCAGCAGCTGAGCAGAAATGCCTGCTGTCCCAGCTGGTTTTATTGGCGAACCAGAGCAACAGCATTCCTTATATATTTCAAGCAGGCTCTCGGATTGAGCATGTCAGAGGAGGAGGTTTTCAAACCAAAGGTCAAAACTATCTCAAAGTTTAGACCTCCAGGATTCCTTCTTTCCACATGTGCAATTAACGCAGAAACTGGAGATGTTTCTAGTGATGAAGGTTGTTTTCTATAGAACCAGGGGTGAGATATCAGCTTCATGATATTCTACTGATGACATATAATCCCAGTAAGTAAGACAGCCTTCTTTCACCCCACATAAGCCTGCATGACTAATGCAATCTATTAGCCAGAAAGGATTGTGTAAAATCGCTCTTCAGACCTGCTACATGTGTAGAACAAGATATCTTACATCTGAAAAGACAGCTGACGAATACCACTTTACAAAAAAGGATTTGCTAATTTTTATTTTTGGTGTATGAGTGTTTGCCTACATGTACGTATGTGTGCCTAGTGCCTGTACAGACTAGAAGAAGGCACTGGATTCCCTGGAACTGGAGTTACACACTGCTGTGAGCCACCATGTGGACGCTGGGAATCACACCTGAGTCCTTTCGGAGAGCAGCCAGTGCTCTCAACCACTGAGCAAGCTCTCTAAATCTGAAGGATTCTTTTTGAGGAAGCACCTAGTGATAGGACTTAATAACAAGGGTATTTTAGAAAAGTATCCTCCCGTCCCCCCTTGTGCTTAAATATATATTCACAAGCTTTATTCTATAGAGCTACACTGCTTGCCACACTAAGAACCTTCCTTGTAAAAATGTGGCCCTGTCTTCTGTTCTCTGAAATGGAGGGCCTGCTGTGAGGGTTCATCTTGTCAATCTGATAGGCTTTAGAACCACCATGGAAATGAGCCTGCGGGTGTGCTGGTGATGGGTTTCCTAGAGCTCCTAGTTGTGGTGGAAAGGCCCACCCTACATGTGGATGATCTCATTGCATGGGCTGGCGTCCTGGGCTACATACAAAGAAGAGAGGAAGCTGAGCGGCAGCATACATCTCTGGGTCTCCTACCTGCCTGTGGGTACAGGGTGACCAGCTGACTCAAGCCACAACTTGCCTGCCATGATGTAACGTATCTTGAAGCTCTGAGCTTCCTTCCTTCAGTTGCCTTTGTCCTATATTTTGATGCAGAGACTAGAAAAGTCACTGATACACAGGGCCTGTGTTTTACATTCCCAGCACCGAGAACACTATCTGGAAAGCCCTAACTGCTTAATGAATGTTTCTCAAACTGCCTGCTTTTTCTACACAAATACAGCCTGGTCTAGCAGCCAGTTAATGCCAAAGAACACACATCCATAACACCATTCAATAACCTAGGCGGACCATCCTCAACAAGAATGTGGGTCTCTGCAAGATGGTCACATACCTGCTCTGAGACCGGGCTGCTATATTTTTTAGACATCCTCTTCCTCATGGTCTCTTTCACTGATTTCACTTTTTTCCCCAGAGAGATTCGGGAGGCAGAAGGGGATTTGATTACTTCTTTGTATACGAAATCTCCCTCTTTACCCTGTAAAATGGAGCATAAACGCCATTAGTCCTAGGAGATAAGGCTACAAACCAGTTCCATTACTCAAACCATTAATGTGCTAGACCTCAGAAAAATATTAGCATTCCCCAGGAGCGTCACATAAATAAGAGCAGAGGCTTTATTTATCTTTGCGATTAGGAATTAAAATCTACCAAGAAGTATTTTGTTTGCCTGTTTATACTGGGGCTTGAGGCACTTTTTCTTGTATTTAATCTTAGTACATGCTTTTCCAATTATGCTTTCCCCCCACCATATAAAAACACTTGAGGGGCTGCCTTTCATCAGTGAAGAACAATGTAGAGGATGCAATATTCAGGTAACCTCAACAGTTGAGGAGAATGGAGGCGTCCATATTGACTCATCCCCAGGGCAGAAGGCGGGCATGAGGGCACCTTAAGCTCAGTATGGCCAGCTCCTAAGAGTGTAACTTGTTTCTCTGAACTAGCTAGACTGTGGCCACCTCTCATTCTATTTTGCATTAAGAAAAAAAAAACCTTCCAAAGACAGGATGGGTGGGTGAGAGGGGAACTTCTGTGTTTTTAAAAACTGACAAATATAAAATTACTGGCTTATGAATCAATAAAATGTGATACCCAAAATAAAACAGCTTAAATCTTGCAGGAAATTCCGTAACACTTCATATCTCACAGATGTGTATTTTGGCTGACATGAGATTATAACCACCATAAAGCACAAACTCTTCATTTTATGGTTTCGAGGCAGAATATTTAAGGGACAAGCAAAACCATGTAAAGCTTACCTATTTCTTGGGGGCCTGAATTTTAAGGAACTTTAAACACTGCCATAGTGTCCTGGCCCTTAACCATGACCCATAAGCATGTCTGAGGAGACATTAACCTTGGTAATGAAGGCCCTAGTTTGCTTTGACACCATGAAAACTGGGCAGCTCACATGAGAACACCTACACTTAACTGCAGACTTTGGTGGTCCAGGGACTGAACCTATAATAACTATAACTGATCCTATACTAACTGCTCAGTGATGCCCACATCACAGGTTTGCCTCAGATCATACCCTTCGTGGACAACTGAGGCTAGGGAGAAGGGCAAGCTCATAGTGAAAGCTTTATAAAAGGCACGTAAGGCCAGAGGAGCCAAAGCTGTGTGTGCTGCTTACAGAATACTGGAAAAAAAAGCGAGAAAGAACTAAAGCTGCTCTGAGGAGAGGGCAGGTACGGGCGGTCATCAGCCATTCCATGGGGATAGCAGGCTGTCGTCAAGATTGGGAGCAACGAAGTCTCGTTGCAAATATAGTTTGGAACCACTGAGCAAAGCCGGAATCAACTATCCAAGATACTAAAGGGGAGGGAGGCACCCGTTGGCACCTAGGTCACTGCAGTTCTGTATCCACTGCTTTTCCCTGTGGCCGACTTACCATGGGGTCAGAATTATTACTGCCGACATGCAGAGAACGATTTGTCAGGTCGAATCCACCAAAACTACAAGTTCTCTGTGGAACGAGGGGGAGGGCAGAAATAATCCAGTTATGCTCACGTAGCAGACACAGACACCCCAACCCATGTCCCCAGTACAAAGCACCTCTGAGTCACACATACATGTACAGGATGGAAATAGGGCATGAGGCATGAGGAGGAGAAACATGAGACCTTTCTTATTTGGTGTTCACACAGGTCGCTAGGGGTCTACAAGTCCTGTAACATCCAAAACCAGGGACTCTAAGAATATAAATAAATTAACCTCCACAGATGTCATGCAGGAAGGTCCCCTCACCTCTCCATGGTCTAGGGAGTCCTGTGCTCTGCCATGGACAGCAGACCTTTCTGAATTATTTTTGTCTTGTTTAGTTTTAAAACACCAGGGTATGTGGTGGTGATTATGTCTACAGGTACCTAGTCAGGCCAGTGGGGGCTGGAGGTGGGGTCCTCACAACTTTGCCATCTAACTACTCCTCTTGATTACTTATAACCCCCCTTCTCACAGTGGAGGACATCACATTTACAGGGTAGAGGTGGTGGAGGGGGACAGATTGTCCCTGACCACATACTGCACTTTCAGCAGGAAAAAAAAAAATGCTGTCGGAAAAACGGATGAAAAGCTAATCGTACTTTTAAGTTGGTTTCAAAATTTGTGAAACTACTTATATTTCTATGATTTTCTGCTTCTGGAACGTGTGTCTGATTTCTCTAGTTTTTCTAGCAATTAAAAGGAAAAATCATCCGACGCTCGTGCTGGTTGGTCTTCTTTCTCTGAGGCACTGTTAAGTTGTTGTAACATTGTAAACGCAGTTGGTAAGAAAACACAAATGGTGGATTTGGGCTCTGACGCTTTGCGTGACTTTCTGCTCAGAGACCGTAATGACAGCCACAAAACGGGAGAGATGAACAGAAAAGCAGAATACTTTCTTATGCACTGCTTCTTCTAACCAGATATACTTTAGACATACATTAATGTACTGTATCAAGAAAGTAGACACAGTCTAGGAGGAAAATGAGTAGGCTTTTAACCCTGCACATAGATCCAACTTCTGGTTCTGCTACTTACTTGCTGTGTGACCACAGCTCAAGTATTAAAATTCTCTGACTTAGGGTTCTCCATTGAGATACGATTTTACATCGCATATTTGACCATAGTACAGGGTCACCCATAAAGCAGACACCCTGGATATTCGTTTATTCTCTGATGTCTCATTCTGGTTCTGCTGAGAGGCTGGAAGCTCCTCTGGATTCGTAGGCTTAGTCAAGACTATAAACGTGCAAACGAGGGGCTGGAACTCTGTTTTGGGTTCATGGGAGGAGCAGAAAAGGGATCTGGAGCCACCCACCTCTCGGGAATACCGTTGCTTTCAATAATCCTACTTATTCCCTTTCCAGTGGAAGTTAGCTCACTTTATATTAAATATCGGCAGCTAGTAGTCTTGCTTTCTTCACAGTCAACTAGCTTGGGTCCAGTCCATAAAATGAGAAAGATTTCCCTATAGAAAACCAATATAGCTCACCTAACTGGGAAAAGATATTATGGCCACCCCTCAAGGCAAATTTTCAACATTAACATTCCCTCAGAGCTTACGGTGCCAAATTCTTTTTCTCAGTTTTGCAAAGGCAGGGACTTTACTCTAGTTCCTTTCCTGTGACTCAGGGCTTCACAGACACAGGGTGGCGCCCAGATGTCTGATCACTGTATGGCTTTTGCACGTCCATGCGTTAAATGACAACATCTCCTGTAACACTGGGGCCCAGCATGCTTTCCTCTGATGCGCATGAAATAACGCACAAGGAATTTATGTGGAAAGGATGACTGCAATAAATTAGAAGCCTGTTTAGGTTCTCATGTGCCTGCTGTATGCATTTATGCCCTACAGTAAAGGGCTTGAAGAATGGACCAGTTTTCAGAATCAGCAGCTAGAATCTCTCCAAGTTGTATGCTAAGATCTGAGGCAGGTTCCTTCCCGTCAGTGGGGAGCTAACACGCATGGAGCACTAAGCGGAGGAAGTTCTCACCTCTCCTGAGAGCACCAGTTCTTAAAAGAGCACACTCCTTCAGGAGGAAAAACGGATTTTAAAAAGAACAATGAAAAAAAAAATCTTTGAGTTCCAGTGATCTACATCAGCGAAGCTCAAGCAAACAGTATTTTTTTGTTTTTGTTTTTTGCTCATTCATCACTTGTACAGATAATTATAAAAATGTTCTCTGACTGATGCTTGGGGTGAGGAAGAGTGAGCCAATGGGATGAACATGCATCAAGTAGGTGTTTAGAGTGGACTGAATTTAAAAGGGACAAGATTCCGAAATGTCATGCAAATCTGTGTTCCGAAACAAACCAAAAAAGAAAAAAAAAAAGACTTGAATGAATCAAAATTAAAAGCAAGACACGTGACCGTTTCCAGTGAATTTAAGCGTTATCATTTCCCTGAGGTTTGGTCAAGCAAGTATGGCATCTCTGAAGGACAAAAATGATCAAGGTTGAAGATTAAAGCAAACTGCACTTTGGGGTAAAGTGAAGGAAGACAAAGGGAACAGAAAGGGGTATTAAAGGGAGAGACGAAAAGAAATAAGAGGATGCAGCCCAGTGGCAGAGCACTTGCTTAGCATGCATGAGGCTGTGGGTTCAAGCCCAGTATAAAATAAGACAGCCAATCAAAAATGCCCATCGATTTCTACTCTTAAGACACTGACTTTAGCCTATTTTGTCCAAGTAATGAGGAAATTATTTTTCTAATATTTCTAATTATTTTTCTAAATATTTTCTAATTATACAACTGTACTCACAAGAGCGGCTATGCACAGATTTCTAGTTTGGCCCTGAACACATTATTTAGTGGGCGTTCAACTGCCCGGTACTGTCTTCAGCTCTTAGCATATTAAAAGTCCCCGGCTAGCCGGGCGGTGGTGGCGCACGCCTTTAATCCCAGCACTCGGGAGGCAGAGGCAGGCGGATTTCTGAGTTCGAGGCCAGCCTGGTCTACAGAGTGAGTTCCAGGACAGCCCGGGCTATACAGAGAAACCCTGTCTCGAAAAAAAAAAAGTCCCCGGCTCACAGTGCCATCGTTAGTGAGCGGTGCTAATGTCTGGAGGCCAGCTGGCAGATGAACCTGGCTCAACCCTGACACCAAACCCAGTGTTTCACAAAAGATATGGGGGTCAGAGCACACAGTAGAGACTGAATGAATGGGTGACGAAGAAAATTCTAATATTAAAACAAAACACAACAAACCAGAAAAATCAAAACACTGTTGCCAGGATACAGAAAGAGACAGAAGTAAAGTTTTCTCAACAGACCAGTAGCATTAAAAAAAAAAAACAACTGTGCTGCAAGGCTCATAAGGATGAGAAAAGGCAGAAAGTAAAATCTAGGACGGAAGTCAACACACATGGGAATTATTGTCAAAACTCCAAAGCGAGGAAAGCCCCACAGATCCTCTGAGAACCAGGGGAAGTCACTTGAAGGATGGTGGTGGCCAACCCGTCTTCGTTTTCACAAAAGCAGAACTTGGTTGCATGAATTTAAATTACAGTTATACAGTTCTGGACAAGAACATCCTATTCATCAGCTCGAAGGAACCCTGGGAAAAGCGACCGTGGAAGCCCATTCTTCTCCACAGGTTCTTTCAGATCGTTCAAAGGGGCTCTGGGCCAGCGGCCCTGGGAGGATTAAGCAAGGTGCCAGAGCACAGCAATGCTAGCTCCGCCTCACTCTGTCCCCTTTTACATGGGCCATTGTGCAAACTCCAAGTTAGGTGGCAATCCAGAGGGAATATCTATACTTTCAAGTTCAAACTAAGTCACTCTCTGAAAGAAAGGAAAAGCTAAACCAGGCTTCCCTGATCCCCCAATATGAAAACTGAAAAACGAAAATTTATGAAACAAGCAATCATAGAGGTAAGCCCTTTACTACATGCCAAGTCCTCTATTTTATAAAAGTAAAAATATTGAATTCGTTTAATTAAAATAAAAAGGCTTTAAGTGATTCCCCCCTCCCTCAGCCCCGCCTCTCTTAGATGTAAGAACTTTCTGGCTAGCCCTACTATTAAAGAAATGTACTTGAGGATCTGATGGCAGACTGTCCATCAGTTCCTTCCTATTGTTTTTATTCATGGTAAAAGCAGGCATCTCTTCCAGGGTTTACCGTCCTTCTGATTCTAACCAGCTTCTTTGGGGTCAAGTGACAAGATTGCTGGGTATGAAGACAGCCACTCCTAGAAGTTAGCCAAAGCCCACCCCCGCACCCTGGAAGATCAACTTCAAGGCTTAGTTTCGGTTAAGAATATCAAACAGCTTCAGTTGGCCAGAGGGCAGAAGGAAATAAGAAAAAGGCACCGCTATAGAAAGAAGTGTGAGAGATCGGAGGGTGACAGAGGAATGGACCCCGAAGTGGTGAGTTAGTTGAAGGAAGGCAGCTTTTCGAGAAGAGAGGCCATAACGCTTGACTACACATCACGGAAATGACAAGGCCTTCCTCATGACCATCCTGGCGACTCACAGACTTCTGGTGGATTCTCAAGAGAACCCTTTTAGTACAGCGGTCCACCGTGGCAGCCCACTTCCTCTTTGCCTCCTCATCCTCCTCCAGCAAGCACCGCCTCAGGTCCTGCTTCTCGGCCTTGCTCAGCGTCCTGTCCGAGGCAGGACGCACGAGCTGGGTCAGGTTCAGGTGGCTGTAGAGGCTCCGCTCCACCACGTAGGTGATATTGAACTCGCTGACAGAGGTGCGCCCTCGGCCCCTCCTGCCAGGGAAGCCGCAGCCACCGCCCCCCTTGGGCTTTGGCCGGGGCAGCAGGTCACAGGTGGTGCCATTTACTCCTTTTCTGGAGGGACGCTGGCAGAGAAAAGTTCTGGAACAGGAGTAATTAGCATCCGTTTTCTTCAAGCGGATTTGCTTACGGATACTCTGAACCTCCTCCAGGGACACCAGAAAGTGGTGCCTGCGCCGATGGTTGTCATAGAAGAAAACACCATCGGTACTTACCCCGTGACTCAAAGACCCAAGACCTTTCTTCATTTCCCCCTCTGTGAGGGAGCGGGACACTTTCTGGGCCTTCTCTTCTTCTGGATAGGAGAAGAATGTCCCCATCTTCTTAGGGGGCTTAATCAGGCCCCGACTCTCTCCTTTGCTGAAGGTTTTGACCAACTTCCGGCCAGCTCCCCAGGTATCCAGGCTGCTGGATGATGGAGATGGGGTGAGAGAGTCTGCATCATCCTCTGGAGGCTTCTCGGGAGAGCCATCATAGAAAAATGGCTTTTTGTGCACTCCAGAGTACAGTGCAGATCTTTCATCTTGGACTGGGGAATTCTCAAACACGTGTTCCTCTCCACCTGGAAGGGAACCAACACGAGGTCTCCTGTGAGTGAGTGTCCCAAATACCTTTGTCTATGTCTGTAAAACATGCCATCTCACATGGTCACTGGTAATGCTCTCCCTGCCTGCCCTACAATCTTCTTCATAAAAATGACTCACATGTCAATGCACATGCAACAAAGGTAATCAAACTACATTGTATTGCTTCAAAAAAGCCCAACATTACACATGTGTGAGGTGCCAGGCCTGGTGGCACCAGTCTGTAATCCCAGCTACTGGAAAGACAGAGGATGAATGGCAAGTTCAAGATCAACCCGGCCAACTTAATGAGATTCAAAATAAAGGCTTGCTGGTGTTAACTGTTCATGGCTATAAGCCCAGCCATGGTAGAGGCGGAGATCAGGAGTCCAGTGTCATCCCCTGCTAAGTACAGTCAAGGCCAGCCTAAGGTACATGAGACTCTGACGCTAAAAACCACACCACACCACACCACACCACACCACACCACACCACACCACAGCACACCACACATGGGGATGTAGCTCAAAGGTGGGGAAGATTTATCCAGCTGTTAGCATGTGTGAGGCTTCATATGCAAACCTAGTACTACACAACCAGAGCTGGGAATCTTGTGGTATCTTTCCTTTTCCTTCAAAACAAGTTTATAAGCCAACGTTTCCCTTGACCTATTAAAAAATGCCGTTTGCAAAACTCAAGGCCCGTCATTACGCTACACGCTGGCACTGCAGGACAACTGCCACTGTGGTTTATAAGTGTGCTACTCAGAGCTAGGAACAGCCTTCCTCATCCTGAAAGGCCCTCCTTTCTGTCAGCTCCAGTGGCATTTAGAGTTGGAGTCTGATGAATGTCATGTGGCAGAACAATTATTTTTTTTTTATTGGTACATATGCCATTTAAGTGATTAAATCTCCAAGAGAGTTTGGGTGGGGAAAACACCATAAAGGGTTATACTTGCAAAAGTGATTGACAAACAAAGTCTCCAGTTGACTGGCCAAATACTAAAAGCCAGGGAACTGAGTGACTGCAGCCAGATAATCCCATCCACCCAGCCCCGGAGGAAACAGCAAGGGCATTTAAGGGCCTGACACGCAGGCAGCTCACTCAGTGTTCCACATGGGCTCAGGCTTCCGGGCCGTGAAGCTCTCTCTCTGGGGCCAGGTACAGAGCCAAGACCTCTGGAGCCCAGTGGAAAGGCCTGGCTGTGCTGGCAGGAGAGCCAAGTTCTTTTCTGCATGTGTTATGTGAACAGATGTGAGGGAGGAATTAGGTCAAGCTGTGGGTGTAGAGCCCAACTGGCTGCATCCCTTAATTATAAGGAAACATTGAAGCCTTGCAGATTTCCACCAGCTGAACAGGGGCGAAGGGAAAAACAAAGCTCCCTGGGACAGAAGGACAGCACTGTACATACTAGCTGGGACAAAGGTAGCAATGGATGGCTAAGTGTCAGGGAGAAAGGAAGAGGGGAAGTGATAAAAACGGCCCCCGTTTCTAGAAGATTCTAAAAATGGCTACCTTTGCTAATTGATGGCTATTAGTTATGGAAGAATTGTGGCATGAAATCCTACTTAAGACCAACTCCACATTCATGTGCAGAAATGAATGGCAGGAAAGGAAGGGAGAGTGAAGAAGGAGAAATCAACATCACACCTAGTGCCAAGTGCACCAAAGAACTGTCTGGGGATCTTTTGCGACAGTTTAAAACAAGGGCCAGGACAGGATTTAGCCAGACCAGAGACAGTACACAAATGAGAGAGTTGCTTCCTGCTTTCTCTTCCAGGTCCCTAACAGCATAGACACCAATGGCACTTATAGTTTCTCAAGTAAATATAGTAACTTCTAAAGCTTGTTCCCTGCCTCCAGAAAGAAGCAATTGGGTAAGACTGGAGACCCAGCCTGATGCCAGAGATATCCCAGCAATGAATGAATGCGGTTACATGAATCCCGCCAGGTGGAACAGATTCATGAAAAGTCTAAGCAACACAGTCCCAAAAGGCTCCATGGAGGCCTGGTGGGCTTTGTCCACTTCTTTAAGTAGCTGTCACTCATCAGTGGTCTGAACATCTTCTGGAGTGTTTTGGGAGCAGCTGTCAGGCACTAGCTGGGATACACATGTTCCTGCATGTGCAGCCTTACCCTGGAAAGGAGCTTTGAGCGGAATAGGGAAATGGCTCCGAAGAGGCTGTGTCAGCCTTTGTGAGCTGGCCCCGTGCAGCGTGAGCTTCCCTGTCCATGTCTGAGAGGCAGCCCAGAAGCCCAGCCCCAACCTGGGCTCCCTCAACACAGTATTCTTCTCCTGCCCTCTTCAGATCAAAAGGAACAGCTTCGCTCTGCAGGTGTGGTGAGTCAGGGGAGCCCCCAAGCCCACTCGCATACACTATGAAACCTGCTTTACAAGGGCCTTTATACCAATGCTGAGCTCAGAAAACCCAGGGAGAGGTGAGGATATGGGAGCACTTCATGCAAGGATACAGCTTTACACAAGTTCTGGTCTTCAGCCCTAGCTCCAGGCTTCTGGGCGTCTGGTTCATACTCCGAGACTTCTCTGTCACAACACCTACTCATCTTTAGCTAACACCCCAGTACGGTTATAGTGGGTGTTAAGTTAATAAAAAAAGACAGTGAAGCTTCTGCTTATGCTAAAAGGTACCACATAGAAGCTCATGGCTCTGTATTGGCTTAGAAGTGTTGGTGCACTGTGGGGACAGTCAACCCACAGAGGCGGGCAGATGACAGGCACAAACAATATCCATGCTTAATACTATCTAGGGCTGCCACGTCAGGATATACCTGGAAAGTCAAGGCAGGAGGAAGACCAGGTAAGGAATTCTAAAGCCATTAGTTCTCCTGAGTGGTAGGATATCCAGAGGGGGAAGGACACCCTGAGGAAGTCTGGCTGGCCAGCTGAGTGACCTTGAGGAAATTCCCTTGCTTCTTTATCTCGGTCTCCTTCCAGGTGAAATGAGTAAGCGCCTGCCTCTTCAGGGTATTCTAGAGATGGCATATTAAAAGGGAACATCAATTCTCAAGTGTGGGAGAGAAATGTGTAGTATGCAGAATGCACCTCGATAAAGGGTTATTATTTGCCTTACAAGTGGCATAGGCGTGCAGGCAATCAGTGACTTGATCAAATCTCTGTAAGCCCAAGGGCACTGGGGAAGAGAAGCATCTTACAACCCAAGAAGGGTGTCCCACCTCCCAATTCTTCCTCCAGTCAGAGCCTGGTCACATGGGGGCTGGAGGCAGACACTCTGAACTACACACACTCATACACACTAGCACACACACTCATGGATGCACAAACACGCACACACACATGCACACAGACATACTCATGGATGCACGCACATACATGTGCACACACAGACACTCACATGCACACATGTGAACGAGATAGTAAATGACCTCCTCCAGCCTCCCAGGTCATCATACACTAACGTAAGCCTTGAAACTTGAGTTCAAGCCCATCTGTGAGGCCCAGTCCACACTCAGATGGATTCATTTAGAAGTAAATCAGTCAATCGATCTAAGGTGACTGCTTTTGACCTTCAATTGCCTCTTTTGGTGTTTCGCCATTCCTGGACCTTCCCCCTGCCCCAACATAGTTTGAATTGTTACACTCTGCAAATTTGGATGTATCAAGATGTACAATATTGGAATAATACAATATTATTCCAGCATAAAAGCTGCCACAGGATAAGTCCCGCCGGCTTAGTACTGAGTGTGACACTCATTTAATGTTACTGGTGGACAAGCCCATTGCTCTGATTGTCACAGCTGACACTTGATTTTAGTTTGCTTCCCAACACACACTCAGAGTTGGGCGCTGGCGATTCTGCGTGGTTCTCTGCAAAATTACAATCTCCCTCTCCATGTTCACATTTCTGTAAGATTTCCCACTGTGTGAGGAAAGCTCCCGATATTCTGGACAGTAGAAACGATGGCCAGCAGACAGGTATTAAAACATCCAATAGAAACCGACATTACAGTCAACTGTAAACCGAATTTCTAGACCAAGGGACACTCAATGTAACTCCCAAATTAAAGGTAGGTCCCCGTTTATGAAGTTACCCATCAGGCTTATTGCTCTAGTCAGCCCCTTTTTTCTTCCCATCCCCCATTCTTTTACAGCTTACCAGCATCTTCAGTTTTCTCCTAAAGAATTAAATCACTGTATAGCAACAAACCGAATTAGAAAGCATCAATAATAACAAGAAACCCTTACCTTTAAAAATAAAAGGAAATGTGGTTTCCTGCATACAACTTGGTTTTGTTTACAAAGATCAAAAAGGCCTTGATAATAATAATTCTAAAAACCCATGTGTTAAAATTTTTGAAATTCCTTATAACACAGACATGATATTTTTTTAACAAGTAGTGCTTCTCTTATTAAAGCTGTCCAGTATTTTTCCAGTTTTCTCACTATTATTTTATAAACAAGAAAATCTCACAGCTGGGTGGGGTTGAGTCGGAGTGTCAATCTTACCACTGGATGGGGTCGAGATGGATTGTTACTATGTAGCATGGTGGGTGGGGTTGAGACGGATTGTCACTATGTAGCACATTGTACTCCCTCTCAGGCTCAGGATTACTGGGATTATAAACCTTGTAGGGGTCTGCCACTATACTCCAGAATTTTAAGCTTTTATTTGATCTTTTTTTTGGGGGGGGGAGTAGATTTTTATATTGTTTACACATATTATAAATAAAAATGAGTAAGGTCACAAATTAAACCATCATAATTATAATTTAAAGGTTACTATTCATTCTAATAATCTCCAGTTAATGTTTGAGATGACTGCTTCACCCTACCAGTCAGCTCTTAAAGAGCCCCTTAGAACCGAAGGTCCTTAAAGCCCCTTTTGAATAGAGAATTGAGATTGTTTACACTAGGAGCCAAGCAGCCCTGAGGCTTTGAAGGGATATTAAGTGCCTTGACTGTCAGGTAGCTTTGCAAGATGGATGCGCTGTGTATCAGATTTGCACCAGAAACACTGCATCTCAGACATCATCAGTCCTCTTTGGAAGAGAGGTCTATGCTGAGAACTTAGAGCCTTTATGTATAGCAGCACAAGCTCAGAATTAAAGCAGCGGCCCACCTTCAGACTTCATCCTCAGATCCTAGCCATTCCCATCTCTGTCACATTTGAATTACTAAGTGCCCAAAATACTTGACACCAGGATCCTTCATTCCATAACGCTCTGAGCATCGCCCGCTGGCACACAGACAACTGTCAGCCTCGGCCAGAACTCAATTCGTTTCCTACTTGAAAATCATATTCTGTTTCAACTGAGTATCTGACCCCACGTGATTTCTTTCTGAAGAACCAGGGCAAGGTTTGCCCCCCACCCCCCATTTTTTTTTCTTTTTTCTTTTTACCTTCTGTGCTGGGCTTTTTCATTTCTTCCACCCTAATTAGTTTCTTTCTGACTCTTCGAGTGGAGTTTACCAGCTTGTGTAACCTCTTAAACTTCACCGACTCCTCGGTCTCATCATCCGACTGTTCTCTTGACTGGCAAAGAAACAGAACAGTTAATCAGTTAATTGCTCCAGAGCAGTGCCCTCCCAGCTGGCATAGCTGGCCTCTCACCCAAGGCCAAACATCCACAGCTCCACTGACAAACTTGGGACATCAACGTGGGACATCAGCAAATTTACACACCAGATTTATAAAAGCCACACATACCCTGGGATGGTCTAACATAGCCGATCAATCCCAGGGACAAAGTACACATCTTTGGCTTTGACTACCACAGCGGGTGTCCGCCCCATCATCCCACTCCGTGTGTCCGGCAGAGCTTTCTCCCCAAGCTGCCCCTTTAATTCCAGTTCCACTGCTGCGGTTTGGGCCAGCCTCTCCTCTGTCTGGCCCACTGGGACTTGCTGTTGAACGTGGTCATCAACCACTTCTCCAAACCAAAACTTTGTTGACTTTTTCCAGCATCCCCTCCCCCCACTAAAAAAAAAAAGAAAAAAAATCAAAACCAGCAGGCAATGAAAACAAAACCCAAAAAACCTTCTTTCCTATTTGTTGGAACTGCCTGCCACATCACGGCTATCCCTCACATCCCCCAGCTCCTTCTGAGGGCTCACGAGGCAAGGTTGAGGACAGCCCTGCATTCCTCCAAAGAGACAAGGGAAAAAGCTGACCTTTACAGCCATACAGTACGGTCCATATTCCCCAGCAACCCATTCCAGTTTGCAGTTATTCAAATGTGCTCCAGCCCAGCTGTTTTCCCTCAAGTATCAAACATTACAGAAGGGGTGGGGGGAATCTCTCTCCATAGCAGTGACCCAGGCTAAAAACAATCCTTTCCTTGTGAACAGAACGAGGGCTTCGTTTCCAAGTCCAGTCCAACATTCAGTATGCAGCTTCCTCTGCTCTATCTGTTCAAACTGTGAAAGTGCAAAGGAAGTTTCCCACCGCAGCAGCGCATTGCATGCTGGGTGCTTGGACCTTCGGGGAGCACCCCAGCCTCGGCATACCGGGTCCAGCTAATCCTGCACATCCTGACAACAGTATCCCCTCTTGTCCTCGGTGCAATTCGCAGGGAGGGAGATGATTCAACCACCCCCTCCCCAACAAAATAAAACCAGACAGCATCTCGATTTTGAGACCAATGAGGGCACTTTCCCCCAAGAAAACCCATCCCTAATCTCAATTTTATAGGCAAATAAGAGAAAAACACAAAAGGCGAGGGGCTGAAACCATATGGATGACTTAGAAATGGTGCATGCTGGGAGTGCACAGATGCTTTTTCCACTGCAAGACAGTACTCTCTTCTGGATAAACTGGGTCCATTTCCCTTGGAGATCACAGCATAGAACCACTGTACTTCCTTCCTGTGTGCAAACAATTTACTCACTGATGATTAATTAGTGTAAACCCCTCAGCAAATCATCAGATTGGACTAGTCCTTGGCATTCCTGTCTGTGAAGTAAATCAGTATCTATGTCCAGCTTCTCTAAAATTTCTAGGAAAATACTGCTTGCAGATTCACAATTAAAGGTGCCTACTACTGTTCAAATGGAGAGATGGCTCAGTGGTTAAGAGCACTGGCTGCTCTTCCAGAGGACCCAGGTTCAATCCCCAGCTACCATATGGAGTTGATGACTGTGTGTAAGTCCAGTTCCAGGGTCTCTGGCATCCTTACACGCACATATAAGCAGATGAAACACCAATGCACATAAAATAAAATTCTAAAAAATGTTTAAAATGTTGTGTACTGTCTATTCGACAAACTAGAAGCAAAATGAGAACCATCTCCTCCCCCTAATCTCAGTAAGGGAAACAGGCAGTTATGTTGAGCAGTTAGTGTTAGTGCACTTAGCTTAAGGTGCAAGGTTAAAAAAAAAAGTTAGTTTAGCTGTTCCAAATACAAAATAATACCATCTGGTTTAAATTTTATTTTTACTTTGTTGAATTGCTGACGTGTAAGAAAATAAAATGGTCAGAGCAGCCAAGCAGAGGCATGAGAACTTGGCTACCCTCATTCTGGGTCATGAACACCTGAGTAAGTCACCATGCATTGAATTCATGCAAATGTTTCAAGATATTGGGTCTTCCTATTGTAGTTCAGGTATCAGCGATTCAGACAGAACTAACCTTACACAACACAAGGTCTCTGTGTATCACCTCTACCCCCCTGAAAAAAACCCAGGCTAAGTATCTAACCTTGCCATTATAAGGTGCAGAGTTCCAGAATTAAGTCAAAGTTGAAATAAGCATCAATTGGATGTACTTAGATAGGAAGTTAGATTATGAGATCAAAACCAGACATGTCAGTACGCTCCATAGCTAGTTAGATGGTAGTGGCTGCTGGTGACTTACATATTGGGGAAGGGGTGCAGACAAGAGCATACAAAGAATAGAAGAGAGAATAAGTAACAAAAGATTCTTCTACAGAGACACAGAACAGGCACAGATAGAAAAGGTGCATTTTCGTGCACTTCCCAGGAAGGAATGAAAGTGGTCACATCAGGTCATGAGACTGAAAGCCAACTTCCGTTCCCTCACAGAACCTTCCTTTCCTCTGCCTGGATTCCTTAACTAGTTTCATGTGCTCTACCTACTTTGTGAGGAACAGGAGCTCTTGAGAACTTTACATTGCTGGCACTTGTACTTCTCTAACTCAGTAGAGGTTCTGGGAGAGTCAACCACTGACAAACCTCAAGCCATTGCAACTAAGGACTTCCTCTGTGGTATCACGACTTGGACCCTAGGCAGGCTGATGCAGCAAGCCATTGAAGAAATGTCTGCTTGTGTGGCTTATCTTTTTAATTAGAAGAGCCCTCTGTAGTCAGCCTGGGAGGTATTTGAGTTCAACAGTGAGTCTTTGAGACACTTTTTATGGATGGGTAGGGTCAACTTCTGGATTCCTTTTGAGTCCCAGGAAAAAGACTTGTGGACATATTTGCCTTTAAGAAATTCTCTCCAGCTGTTTTAATATAAAGACACAAATGACTGCATTTCTTCTAAACTGAGTAATAAATTCTTCACTGTGTATTTCTCTCACAAATAACTGTGTTACTTTCTAAATGCTGAATTAGCATAGCATATGTATGTATATATAGTGTGTATATTATATCTATATGTCACATCTTTTATTCAAATTGACTATCACAAAAGGGAGTTTGAGAATATTTTAAATTAAGAATCATTAAAGATATATGTATATAATTTTAAAATGTAAATTTTTTGAGATAGCACTGATAAACAGAAAATAAATATTATAAGTATTTTAAAAAAAACCTTCCTACCTAAAGGGAGTTTGTAGAATATAAAGGATTTCTACTTTGTATATAAATCATTCTAAGAAAGAGGCTCATAACCAACAGAGATTCACATAAAACAAAACAAAAACATAAAAGCATATGCTCACACATATTCAAACATTTTTCCATCTTGGTACCCCTGCACCTCTAAGTTAGAGTTTCTTTCATCTTACTGGAGTAAACTTCAGCTTGATCATCCTACAAACAAGAAAGCGAATTCATCGGCATTATCTGGTCCCTATCCCATGCCATCCGGAGAGAAAAGGGTGACCCCCCACCAAAAGACGTGCAAAATGCCACTGCAGTACTATAAACAGAAACATTTCACTTCTAAGCTTTCTGCTGCAGATTTTTTTTTCCACCAGAAAACCCATATGGCTCAAGTTTTAATTACTTTGGCTAATGCTATATGTAGTAATTCTGTGGTGAATGCCTAAGTGTTTCATTTCTGGTTTCCATAGCAACATTACATCAGCTTGCAGACAGCTGGCTCCACAGTTTTAAACCATAACAAATTGACCAAGCCAAGGCACAAAACTATAGCTGCTTTAAAGAGATGGCAAGCCCTTCGGCTGCTAGGCACTGACTGAGGAGTCTATGGGGCCATTTGGCATGGACAGGAGGGTGGAGCCTCCTTTCTTCCCAGCTTCTCTTGGAACAAGTGCATCCTTTGACACATCTGTGATGTTCTAATGGGGAAAGCCATGGAGCCAGCGTGGAGAACTTTTTATAACACAACTACACGCAATGTGATCGGGAAAAGGGAACAAAATTAATCACATCTGTAAATAAGAGTTGTGTGCTGGCGTACACTGCTTATCCTAAGCCTGTCATTGCTGCCTGAAACAGATCCCTCACCGGCCCTTATACCAAACAGTTCTATGATGTGCCAGAATAAATGGTAGTCCATATTTGCAAGGAACAATCAGATCCTTGGGGTAACCACATGAAACCAACATGAGCACAGGGTTACAGTTTGCCTCCCTGGCTCCAAATCTGAGACACACAGTCACAGTCAACAAACAGAACAACCAGGCTCAGTCACCTTAACCAACCCACCCATCCACCCAGTGAGACAACATCATACAATATTTAAGCATTTCTGAGAAGTATTTTTCAATTGCAAATATATTTGCTTGAGAAAAAAATATCACATAACAGTTTTGTTTGAACTCAGTCCATAAGAAGACACACACACCTCAACTTCTACGTCCACACTGTCATTGCATTAATTGTAAAACTTATGAGAAGAAAGCCAGCCGACTGTAGATTTATTTAAAACAATGCCAAATGTCTTCTGGATTTAAGTCCCTTGCACAGAGTCAGCACAACTCACCGAGTAGCTCCGGCTCGCACTTGCTAATTCTTTCATACTCTCAAAATAATATTTAGTATTCTCCAAAGTTACATGCAAAGGCTGGGTGAACGAGCTGGGTGCGAACGCTCAGGGGTAGATGGCAGGGAAGCAGTAGGAGATGGACAGATCTAGAAAAATTTAAAAAGCCAAGAAAGTTGCTTCCTAGGCAGAAGCCAGCAGAAAGCCTTCTTCTTGGAGCAACAGAAAAGTTTTCCTTTCACACACACACACAAAAAAATTCATCAACTTACCGGCTTCGGCATTTAGCAGGCGTAAGGGGTAGTTTTTGCAACGATGCAATAGGTACCCCTTCCCCTTCCCCACGCAGAGCAAACCCCACTCTCGATCCGTCAGCCCTGAAATATCCACGTCGGACCAGG